TATCAATCATCAACTTTCCCAAAACCCCTAGGTCTTCACAGAGATAAGACTTACTAAAAGCATATGCATTTCCTGAGAGCACTTAGCCAGGGCCCATGAGGATGGAGTTGTAACACCTACCTCCTTTCACCCTCTTGGGAATCTAGGAGAGGGGAGGTTAGAAGCCCAATCAGGCCAGGCTGACAGCAGCTTCTGCTTTTTATTGTCAATCTATACATCCTAAGCTGGGTAGTTTCAGTTTATAAAGCAATCTTAACATTCACTTCTGCGCTTTGATTCAAAATGCAACTGTCCTAGCAACCTTGCTGATGGACGTGTTACTAATAAATAAATCACCCCCTCTCCTGAAAAAAAAAAAAAAAGATTCATGTGGAGTTTAAAAAAAAAAAATCTGGCAAGTACTTGCTTTCTAGTGTTTTGAAATCTTTACCCATCACGTGGCTCAGTGTTGTTGCTGCCGCTGCCCTCACGTTTACAAAAACATGTGCCTGGCACCAGGCTGAGCATTTCACAAGCCAGTTTTCTTCTGTTCACAGCATCCACAAGAGGTGGGACTACCCTCGACCCCATTTCACAGGTGAGCAAACAGAAAACTGTCCAGGCAAAGCGCTTTCTTTCAGCAGATCTCCTTCTGGACACCAGTGACTGACTCAAGTTCAGAGCAATAGATAAGTAAAAGGAAGTCTTAAGAAAAAATGCTTTCTTTGCTTGGGAGTTTGGAAGAACAAAAACTACTTAAGGCAAGAATAATTACTACTGAAGAGTCTAACAAGCCCTCTCATCCTGAGCAAAATCTAAAATCCCACCCTCATTTCTAATATAGTATGTACTCACCATCCTTATGGGAAGCTAATACGCTCAACACGCAATGAACTATCAAGAGAGCCAATAATATTTCGATAACTGAGAATGCTCATAATCATAAGGCCATTTAATTCAATTTCCAGTATATCTGATTTTCATTTTCAACGTAAGAATATGCATTTTATAACTATATTGCTTTATTAACTTACTCAGCACCTCTGTGGGCAATATTATAAAGTTTTACATACATCATTTTTATCTTCATTATGACAAGTACCTTAGGGTAAAAGCAGTATTTTAAACAACCCTTTTAGAAATAGGGTTGTTGGTAGCAGATTTTTCCCAAAATCCTAATACAAGATTAATACCAAGATTCAAAATCAGATCTGGCCCAAAGTCCTGATCGCTTAACCGCTAAGCTTCATAGTTCTTTGATTCGTCATTTTTGTGTATTAGCATTAATCAAGCATTAACTGACAAATGGTATTAAAGTTTCCTCTTATTGCCATTGCTAGTAATCTATTTTCTGATAGTTTTGCTTCATAGCTGTCCCTGCTTCCACAAAAAAGCAACTAAAAACTTATTATCTATGCACCAAATTAGAAGACAATTCCCGCGGAAGCTGGCTGAATTAAACATGATTGCTACAATTACTTTTAAATCAATCGTGTGTGGTGCCCCTTCTAGTGGCTGGTTCTGCTACTCCATGAAAAGGCAGTAAATGTTTCTCTTTCTGCCTATCATTGTAAAAATGCAACATGATTTTCAAAGTGTGTAGCAGCAATATCTTAAAAGCCCACCAGATGTCAACCTCAGTTACTGAAAATAGTCCACACATACTTGTCCTACTTTGCATGATAAAACACAGTGACTTGAGACCTTGAAAATGCTTGTGCTTCTAAACTTTATGTAGGAATTTTACATAAAGTAATTTTCAATGTAAAAAGAAAATTCACCAGTCTATAGGTATTTCTTACTCCCTGACTTTCCTATATATCCCTCTTCTCCCTCATTCCACACTGTTGACTCAGTTAACTGATGTAAGTGTACCAATACTACCATCTCACAGGAAGCCTGAAGTCTACACTTTGAAGATTAGTATCAAATCAAGTGAAAGCAATGCTACATTTACTAAACAATGCCACCCATTGCCTCTATTCTAAGGCAGACTGTAGCTATAAAAATCCTAGCCTAAACTTGTTAACTACTAAAATCAACTACCTTCATTTAGAATCAAACAGAAATGTTAGACACTGTTTTGCATGGCTATTCCAAAGCAGGTATTAAGACCAAAAAAATAGAAAAACTAGTGATATTTTTCCCTACATTTGCAGTCTGGTGGCACACAAATGTTATCAATTTTTGAGTGATTCAATGATCACCCAAGAATGCTTTTCATTTCTTTGACCACTACCCTGCTGCCCATATTTAACCTCAGTGAATTTTTGGTCCATTGCGTAGAAGAATTTCTCTGCTAATAAAAATACAAGCCATTAAAGATTAACTTGCCCCCCCGGACAGTCTCTCTGGAAACAAATTCCAAGCATTATAATCACCAATTTGTACTATGTAGACTAAGTCAGATAATCTTATTTATCCTGAGTTAAATTGGAAACCTGTACATATTTTTAAGTGATTTTTTTAAAAAGCAATCATCAGAAACCCAATTAAGCAAATACAGAATTTATGAAATTGAAATGAAGTGATCACCCAAGAATATCTAACAATATTAGAATAGTCTGTGACTTGCCAGACCTCCTACATTGGTCTCCATTTACTTCTACAATTATGATATTGCAAAATGTGTTTTTCCTCCAAATATGCATATGTTAGAAACAGTGACAGACAATAGATAGCTTTTTATCTATGCTACAATATTAACAAAAATTGCTAGCTCTAAGCTCTTATTATTCACCAATATAACAAGTTTTACAATAGCTTATCAGACATTGTCTTAATTCTCAGAAAACCCTCAGAGAAAGGTATTAATATCAATCCAACTTCCAGATAGGCAAACGTGAGACAGAGACCAAGACTGTCTCAAGATCTCACAGGGATTTGAACCCAGATATAAGTGATTCCAAGGTCCACACCTGATACAACCACCTGGTCTCTAGCAACCAGGCACATGAACACTAGTCTTATTTCTTCAAACACGGTGATTTTACAGAATTTGACACTGGAAAGAATGTAACACAAAATACACTGAGTTCTAGTGTCAAATATATTCAAGGTTTATTTTCTTTAGAAAACATTCACTGGTGATTTCAAAAAGTTAATCAAAGAGCTAGTTTCAATCATTAAAGAATGCTTTTGGGTTGACATGTAAATATCTCATCACATATAGGCTGCTAGAGAAATGTAATTCCATGAAGACTTTCTATAAAGGAAACTTTACCACCACAAAGCAGTTCCAAACCATCTCATCTCACATCGGAATATTACAGAAGTAATATCCTTCAAATAAAAAAAAAAGCCACATCTATATTTCACTATATTCAAATGAAGATGAATTCAAAAAGAATCCCATTTCTAAAACTCAAATTACACATGAGGGTTTCCTAAAAACTGACATCACCATCATTACTTTATGTCCACAGATAAAACAGTAAGGAAGACGCTGTAGAAGAATGAGTATGTGCTTTATCAGGTCAACTTACATGATCTCACAATAGTTCTCTCTCATATCTTTTAATCAGAAACTAAGCAAAAAGAAGTGTGGGGGAGGAAATGAAATAACTAAAATAGGGTACTGAAATGTAAATGGGGCTTTACTTTCCAAATCCAGTTTACAATATTCTTATTTCAACAGTTTATCACAGAAGTAACTCTCCTTAAAAGTTACACAATTTAAGGAGGAGGTGGCAGACATAGAAAGAGATATGACAAGCATCAGAGACGTTTATCAATAAAAATAAACAACTAGGGAGATAGGTTTTTAACTCATCCAAAAAAAAAAAAAAAAAACCTCTTACCAAACACTCCTGGTTTTTGTATCCACCAAGTTATTGTTTTGGAAAACATGTTGTTCTCTCTTAAAATAACCTGCTTAATTGTCCTAAAAAGCCACTGCATTTCCACAGACAGCTAAGTCGCTCCTATTCTGCAATGCATTGACTAGTAAATTATGTATATGTAAGATCAAAAAGTTGGAAAACTGCAATCCTTCCTTGGTATTAGGCCACTAGGCACTAAATGTGCATGTAATATCGGGTCCTTCATAATATTTTAAGATGACAGTCATTCCAACCACCTCATTTCTCATTAAAGATCTGCCTTGGTGGCTACAGGTAGGCTACTAATTAACACGATCAAGGGAGGTCAAAATGACCTTGGCCATTTTAACATTCCCCTGGTCCCCTCCCCCCAAAAAATTGTCCCAGAACGGCAATGTCCTGTTAAAAATCGTAATTTGTTTCCCTTCCAGTATGGTTAGAGCTCTCAGGTCTGGGAAAACCCCCAGAGAAATTAGGGAGTTTAGCAAAAATTCCAAAATTGAGAAAGACAAAATCAGATACCCATAGTACAGGAAGATTTTTATGAACTAAGTGTAACTCAAGAGGTGTTTTATAAGCCTGTCAGAAGATGAAGATACCTGTCCTCCAACCAAGCAATGCTGATGACACTACCCCCATGCTTGGGCTCCTCACCCCAATCCTGGCCCCTCTTACTCCGGAGGGCGGAGGGTGAGGGGCGAGAACTCCTGTCTTAAGTCTTGACATCTGCTGAGCATTTCCCAATAACAGACAAGGCCCCTCAGCTGGAGGAAGTGGATACTGACAAGGGGAGAGAAAAACAGAAAAGAAACGAGGCTCGAATTGCAGGCAGCCAGAGAGTGGGGAGAGCGTCACGCATACTTTGTGCGGTCCAAGTGGGTCCAGATGGCTAAGCCCAGGTATGCGGGCAGAAACTGGCCTCTCCAAAGTCCTGCGCGCAACTTGGAAGCACACGCACAAACTCGGGTTGGGCTTTTCTAAGTCAAGTCAGCAGCGAGATCCCGCTGCCGAAAGGCTAAGAGTAGTGGAAGGGCGGAGAGTCCCGCAAGGGCTCCACTCCCTGGGTGTTCTCCGGCTCCACCAGGAAGTTGACCCCTTAAGTCGACTACTTAGAGCGGTGGGCGCTGGAACGCCGGACGGGGATGTACCGGCAGGGGCTGGGAGCGCATTTCGGGCGTCCGAAAACTGGGGGATGCCTACCTTGTAACATGGCCTCAAGTTTCTTCCTGTCCACGCGGAAGCGCTCCTCGCTCCACTCGGGGCTGTGCAGTGGCGCGCCGGCGACCAGGTCGTCCTCGGAGCCGGGCATGGGCGAGTCAGTGCTTCTCTCGCTATTGGAGCCGGGGTCCGACTGCGCCGCCAGGTAACCGGGTTCGCCCTGGGCGGCCATGGTGGGCGCGCTGAGGCTGGACTCCGGCTGCGGCCGCCGCTCAGCTTGAGCCGACGCCTCCGCCCGCTGGGGATCGACTGGTTCCCTGCTCCGCGGCGC